ATGAGGTTTGTCATTGTATAAGATTGCATCTGCTGCCAAGTAATGTTGATTATTCATTTCTTTGCAGGCAATGGGTAAGTTGCATTTAGAACATTGATAGTTGTGTGTAGTAGGTGAGGATGATGCTGTAGGGGATGGTGGAATAAATTTGGTAGAATTCACGATATTATTTGCTAAAGATTTTTTATCTTTGGATTTTTTGTTAATGATAATAACTTCATGTTGTTTGTAGGTTTGGTTGATGGTTGAGATAAAGTGAGTGTGGAACTTGTCACAGAAACATGTAATAATAGAGCTAGATTAGGGTACTTTAAAGTAATAACAACTTTTAGTCTCTTCTCTAAGTTCTGTAGTTGAACAGTTGTTTTGTTATTTGTTTACAGGAATTAGGCATGATGTATTTGCTGCATCTTCAAGGATACCAATACCAAAGCTTTTAGGACACTTTTGGTAAAAGTAGTCAAGATCAATGGTATCAGGTGCAATTGTTGTCAAGGTCAGCATTTTGTTCTAAAAATAGATCTTAAAGTATGTTTTACAAAAAAATTCAGTTGATTTGAAGATTTCTAGACTAGTTAGGGAAGTTTAGAAAAGTGTATAGACTTCAGATAAGCTGATTGGGTGTTTAGGAAATTCTAATGGGTACCATAAAAGTGAAATTTCCAGGGCAACCCTGTAAATTTTCCTAAAATGCCAATAAAAAAACCTGCAAAGAGCAAGTTTTTGTTTCACTTTTTGCTTGTATCTCTATGAGTTTTGATCTGTTTTAAATAAATTATATATCAAAATGTCCATCTCAATGAGCTGAACAAGTTTTAAATAGATAATAAGATATATTTTATTAGAAAAATTTGTGTAAATGAGCAAAAACCAAAAGTTTGGTTTTTTAAACTTTTCTTAGTAGCCAGATGTTTTTGGAACTTAAAACATAGCCGCCTAGGAGGAGAAAAGTGTGCTGAATAACTTTACTTAAAGGGCCAAGTAAGATTTACATAGTAAAAAGCTGAGAAATAATTAAATGTATTTTTGTAGTTTTGGTATAAGTGATCTATGGAAAGAGTTGCTTTTATAATCTTTAAAAAATGGATTGTTAAATAGATCGACTTATACAAATATATTTGCATATGTATAATTTTTTATAAAATGTATATATATAGGCTAAGTGCTGCAAAAAAGAAAAAAATTAACAAAAAAAAAGAACCAACTTTTATGTTATAAATTTTATAATAAATTATAAAAAAAATTAAAAAGCTATACTAAAAATTTTATTAATAGAACTGCTTTTGTGTCTTAAATAAAAAATGATCCTGATCTTAATTTAATTTATGTAAAAAGATTAATTTTATAAAATTTATTAATTTCCTTCTTTGTTGCTGCATCTAACCTTATTGTAAATTATTTTAATTATACCAATATTAATTTATTTTAGATTTTATCTTGTAATTACTAAAAAATCATGTCTAAGAACCTTGTTTGATGGTTTATTATATGCTGGTTTACCAGTTTTAAGAAAAATCAAACAAAGTACTTTAATAAATGTAGAACTAACCAAAATTAGCAAAATAACTGTGCAATACAAATCTTACAATATAAAGATAGTTATTTTATTAGATGTAGCTTATGGTAAATAGTGACTATTGGTATTGATTTATTTCAATACCAAAATCATGTAATATTAATCTTATTCAATGTTTTCTGAATGGAGAACTACTTGATTAATCATTAATTGAAGATTGATGATATACAGTTTTACCTAATACAATACAAAAAAAAAATTGTTATTAGTATATTTGTATATTTAGACAAAAAAAATTAAAAAATTTAAAAAATAAAAAAAAATTAATACTTATTTTAATAGCATTTTCTTTCTTTGATAAGAATAATCAGCCATTTGAAGTACAATTAAAAAATATACCTTGTAAAGTTAAATTTTATCAATTTATATCTGTTAATTTGTTAGATGTTCTTTTGTAGTATTAGTTTGTATAATAGAACATAATCATCTACTACCTCTATTATATTATATACTAGAAGCTATTCAAACTCAGTTTAAAACTTTAATTAAAGAAGTCTCAACTAATTTGAAACATGCTACACTACAAAAATTAATATTAGATATTATTTTAGTTAAAAATTGCTTAAAAATCATCATACAAAACATAAATCAAAAAATTTAATAGTACCTAATGAGTACAAACTCTAATTTTAAATACAGATTTATTTTATAGTAATAAAAATAAAAATTTTTTTTACTATATTACTAAAATTATATATATAATTTTTTTTTAATTTAGAAAATTTACTTTAAAGTTATTTTGAAAATGATCTATTAACAGAAATTCATGCTTCTTTAAACAATTTGAATTATTTTTGCTATCTTGTTGCTCAAGTTCATAATTCAATCTATTCATATAAGCAAGATATATTAAGCTTAGTTCATGCATTTTCTTCTAATTTGGATAATATTTAAGATTATTTTCAAAAAATTGATATGTAAAAAAGTATATTATATTACCATTGGCACTGCATATAGTATCTGAGCTCTTGAACTTTATTTTTTAAACTGAATAATATCTATGAAGAATGAATACTAAATATATATATTGAAAGATATATCCTATAAAAAGTAATAATTTAATATACAACTTTGAACTAATCTATTCTATTAATAAAAAGTTTTTAAAAATTTATTATATCAAGAGTAAATTTACTATATTAGAGAATTTTATATAAATTTGCTTTAAGCTTAACTTTACTATATTGAGATTTTAATTAGTATTAAAGTTCACTAGTAAGCTGTAGTTATATTTAAGAATTAAGCCAAGTAGACTGTGAATAATATCTAGGTCTTAATAAAAGAGATATTATTTTTGGCAGTACTGAATGCAGTAGCAAATAGTAAATATATGATATAGTATAAGTGTATAATACTGTATATACTAATATTCTATATAATATATATTTATATATATAGTGTTTTTTTGAAGATAAACATATTCTTAAACTATGCATGAACAATGACATGGTAGCAAAACTTTTACATACACAATATTTTTAAGTAGATTTAACATTTAAATATGTCTATAAAAAGATTAATGAGTTTGAACTTAATGAATTTGATATAAATTATAATATTAGTTAAGTAAATTTATATATATTAAAGATATCATTAATTAAGATATTATATAGGCATTAAAAATTTTTTTATATATTTAATTATTTATATATTACTATTGCATTATTACTATTATACTTTTTTTTTTGGCTTTTATATATGCACAAATTTTTACATATATTGCAACTGCAAATGCTTATCATCATATATTTAAAACTATAATCAAAACTGTAAATGAGCTCAAATTAAATATATTCATACTAATGGTTAAAAAGTCATTTTTGATAACTTAGATGCTGCATAAGCTAAAGGTCTTGAACTTGCACTTACAGATTTGGATTTCAACAAAAAACTGAGATATTCATTTAACTTATATTTTTAAGTTATATCATGTATATTATAAAAGAAAAGTATTTAAAAAAATTTTATTAAATCTGAGTCTTTTATTTAGCTATTTACAGTATATTTTTTAATAATAATATATCTCAAAGTAATCAAAATTGATTAATTGTTAGTTTAGTTTGTTTTACTAATTACAAGATATTAGTGAAGATCAATATTGCACTGTAATTGTTTTTTTTTAAATATTTATTATATATTTTTACTAGATAATATTCAAAGAAAGAATACAGTAATATACATAAATACATTGTATGTCATGATGTTTGACTCTTTTATTTGGCTGCTTAGATTTTTTTTTAACTATTTTTAACTGACTTAACAAAATTATTAAAAAAATTAATTTTATATAATCTAATTTAATTATTTTTAATTTATTAGAAATATTTCCAAATTCAAACTATTCAATCATTTATAAAATTTAATGTATAAAATATTAGTAGCTGATAAAAGGCATGATGATGCTATATTTGATGAATTTTTTATATCAGATAAAGCTGAAACATCAGATATAATTTGTTATTATTAAAATTTTAAATTTATATATATTTAATTTTTTAAAAAATTATAGATTGGGGAAACTACTATTCAAAACCATGGCAATTAGCTTTCTTAAATCATAATTATTCACATATTCTTGAAGAAGATGGGCATAATGCAGAAGAAACTACTAATGTTGCTGAATCTGCTCATATAAATGCTAATAAAAATGAAATTCAAATAAGTTTATTGCTTGCAGTTAAAAAGTATGTATCTAATGTTTGCTTATTTTTTTTTTTATAGTAATTGAATAAACTAAAAAATTTATACAATTTGAAATGTATAGAAGAAAATGATTAGATGAGCATTAATTAGCAATATGCAAATGCTAAGATAAATACAATATTCCAAAGACTGGTTGTTCATTAGGTCCAGTAGTAAAAGCCACTTAATCTATTAAATGATTAGGTAAGACAGATAATCATACTATGAATTCTTAAAATTTTGTACATCTATAGATGTTATTTTGGAATGACAGATCAATTTTTCTAATTGACATACTAAGCTAAACTTCTATAGATTTATTTATTGTATTAGTCAATTGCATAATAAAAATTGTTTGTATGTAACAACTATAAAAATTTTTTCAAGGTTGTTATATGCAAGTATTTTATTGTAAAGATTAAAAACAGAATTACAAGTTACTCTTGTTATAGTAAAGTAATCTGTTCTATAGTAAAATTTTTTAAAAAATTTATTATAATGAGAGTTTATTAGTAAATTTACTATATTAAAAGAAGTTTATATAGACTTGTTTTAAATTTATCTTCACTATACTATAACTATAATAAGAGTGACTTGTATTATGAAAGTATGCATTATCATTATTTTTGGAATGCATATAGTTATTATCTTTATTTAAAAACTAACTATACTATCTTAAAGGTTTTTTTAAATAATACTTATCTATTATTTTAAAAATTTATAACAATATTTTGTATGCTGCATTTGTTAATACATACATATATTTTATTAATAATAATTAGAGAATAAGCAATTGCATATATCAAAAGGTCAAAAGCATAAAGTATTATTAACTTCTAAAACTACTATAACAAGCAACAAAGAATTAAATGAACTTGTTATCAAAATTGCTAAATAAGAAAATTAAAAAAGCTCAAGTTAATAGAATATAAATTTTAACATAAAAAAGAAATTTTGAATATTGATAAACAAACAAAATTAGCTGTATTTTGTGCTCAGAAATTAGCCAATATTGCAAAAGAAAAAGAATTGAGAATTAAATAATTAGTTAATTTTAACTAATAGTTGTGAATATTTTTAGTATGCTAATAATACCTTATTAAATAATTAGGTTTGTTATCATTTTTTTCTTATTTTTTCTTTCAATTTCAAAGTTATTTTATTTTAATCTTATTGTTACTAAAGAATTTAATTCAAGATAAATAAGTTATAAATTAGATAAGAGAAATTGAGTATTAAAGTTTATAAATCATGCACTTAAAGGTTCAAGCAAAAATAATATATTTTTAATCATTTTTTTATTGTTTCTTTACTTTTAAATATTAAAAAATTTATTAAAAATTCTACATATTACAAAATTTTAATGATCAGATTAATCAATACATTGCATACTAATATACATGTTATATATCAAAATACTGTAGAATCTTACTAAACTTGAAATTTACTTAAGTGGATTCTAAATATACTTAACCACTCAGGTGGTTAGATAATTTTAAATAAACTTAAAGTTGATTTTAAACCTCTTTAGTTGATAATTCTTAAAATTATAAAAGACTGTAATTGTAATTAGAATTAGATTTTTAAGTTGGGTATTGTTATCCTATATCTACTTCTTTTAAGATAGTAGGTAACTAGAGTGACCTTAGACAGTGAACACTTTTTGTAAC